TTTCCCCCCTTCCCCTCCCCCTCCCTCTCCCTCTCCCTCTCCCTCTCCCATTCCCTCTCTCTCTCTCTCTCCCTCTCTCCCTCCTCTCCCTCTTCTCCCCCCTCTACCTCTCTCTCTCCTCTCCCTCCTCTCCCTCCTTCCTTCCTTCCCTCCTTCCTTCCTTCCCTCCCTCCCTCTATTCCTCTTTTTCCTTTCCCCTTTCCAGTTGCTCCCTCTTTGCCTCCCTCCATCTCTTTCTCCATATGATTTATTAAAACATGTTTATATTTAGGCTAAACAGAAGATATTGGAACTTGTAACAGTGGCAAATATATTATAGACTTATGATCTTATTTGAACTACTCTAGTTTTTTATACATGCCTTCAGTCTTATGCACTGCTAACAAATACTTATAGGTTTGCTATCACAATTTCACATTTCATTTGAACTTTATTATTATTGTGCTCTCTCAGTTTGTGTGATATACTCTGACAGTTTTTTTGTTTTCTTTGTTTTGCTTTAGAGCTGGATTATATGAGTATTGAGATTTACAGTTGACTTTGAAATCACAGTTTGTACAAAAAAAATCTTTAACTGATTTTTGTATCTGTAAGTGAAGTCTTGATGCATTTTGAGATAAATATCTATTGTTTAGAAGGCCTTGAACTTGGCTGCATTTTCATGTCAGGCCCTGAAGGATTTAAAATGTGACATTGCTCAGGTAAGATTGATATTGATTATTTAACCATATTAAAAATTTTTCCACATTACTTGACAAGTAAGTTGGCTTGCGATAGATACTAATCCTAACACATGGATGTTTCTAAAATTCCAAAGTATTTTTTTGTTTTTTGCCAGCCATAGGCTCATATCACAGTAGAGAGACTACTTAAATGAATAGGAAGAATAATGTGTATTTACTTTTTTTATGGAGTAGATATTTGAAAGTCAAAAGAATTGGTAGAGCAACAAGAGGTCACATAAGCTTATCATCCTGAAGGGTTTGATATGCACTGATGCTCAAAGTCATAAGGATGTATTTCTGATGTTTATCTCAACAGAAGACCACACTTAAGTCATGGTAATTAATGTACACATAAAGTTCTCCCAAGAAATTAGTACTAACCCCAAGAAGGACAAATACCAGTGATCATGAAAGCAGAAACTCATGAGCAAGTGGGCATTTTGCTCCATGTGAACATGGAACGTCCTTACAACAAGGTTTTCTTGTGTTTTGGAGATGTGTGTAAGCACTCCTAAGACCAGTGACTGAAAGAGAGAGAAAAATAAAACACTAACTCTGTCTGAGTCCCAGAAAGTTTTAGTTTTCATAATCAATACAGTAAGCATGCAAACCTTATAATGCCTTGACATTAAAATATATATCTTTTAAGGATCTGTGTAGACATAAGCTCTTTCTCAAGAGAATGAAAACACGTGGTGGTGAGAAGTGTTGTTTCGTCCGCAGGTGAGGATGGTGCCATGACTTCCCACGGAGCGGACAGCCATGAGTCGACCCTGGATATGACTGATGTGATGGACATCAGTTGTGATCCCCCAGGGCCATCCTCTGTTCGTGCTATGTCCTCGGCCTCCCCAGCCATGTCTCGTGTATCCTCAAGGCCATCTTCTCATGTCGGGGAAGAAGTGCAGGCTGTTACCACACGCCTGCATCAGGTGGCTGTCACACACCCTGATTCCCTGAGGTCCTCTCCTCTGAATCAGAGAACATCCAGTCTTGAGGACAGTAGAGCTCTGACATCATCAGCAGAAGAGCTCAGTTCAACACTGGTTTCAAATTTTAAGGTTGATGATCCTTCAGATTCTGTGTGGGTACCCATTGACCGCCCTCCTATGAGATCAGTCAGCCAAAGTCCAGAATTCATTCAGGTGAGAAGAAAACCAGAAGAGCCTGTAGTAAAAAGAACAACACCCACACCAAAGTCAAGTGGAAAGATGGTGACCTCATACACTAAACAGGCAGATAATAAGGAATCAGTCGTCTTTATCAGTGAGGATGACCTCTGTAAGAAAGAAAGTATGTCTTCATCTTCAAAGTCCTCCTCTTTGCCTGACAATGAGCCTAGTTCATTAGGTGACAGCATGTCCTCCTCAAAGAACTCTGGAAAGTCGGTTGATGGTGGAAAATCATCCAGCAGCTCTTCACTTTCCAGCAGCAAGAAAGGCAGTGTTCATGTTAAGTCTGAGAAGAAAATTCCTGATTTAATTCAGGATGAAAAGGAAAAGGAAAAGGAGGAGGAAGAGTTTAGACCATCAGAGACAGTAACAGCCACCTCTGTATGGAGTAGGGGATCTCCATTTGATTCGACAGTGGCAACAAAAGCTTCCAGTCCTCCTCAGGAAGAGGAACAGGCCTTAGAGGAATTCAGCAGTTCAAAAGTTATGAAAACTTCAGCAACAGAATCAACAACAATAACAACAGAGATGTCATGGAAACCCAAAAATAAAACAAAGAAGCCACCCTCTACCACCACCTCAGAAGATGACCTGTGGTCAACAACAGAAAGTAAGAAAGATAAGAAAAAAAAGAAGAAGAAGACCAAGACCACCTCTGAAGAGGAAAGTGAAGCTCCTTTGGATGTCCAACCTACATCAGTGACCAGTTCCTTCAAGGATACTCACAGAATCCAAGATTCTGAGGAATGGAAGGACACACAAGTGGAACCAAAAGAGGATAATACAGTTACTCTCAACACCAAAACTAATCCAGATGCCCTGCATATGGACATTGATATTGAGGCAGACTATTTTCATGCAGCAGAGGAGTATCATGAACCCGGTGAGAAAATGGATGAATTTGTAGACTTCAAGAAGGAGTGTTTCCAGGAACCTCAAGCTGAAAAGTATGAAGAAGCCCAGGACTCAGTTGTGCAAAACTTGGAAGATTTTGAGTTTACAAATGAAGAGGAGGCTGCTCCAAAAGAGCAGTCACAGGAATCCATGTTAAGATCTATGCATGATGACAATGATCTTGCAAAAGCTCTAGAAGAAGCATATTCTTCAGATGACAACACTCCTGTGCCAAGCAAAACAAGGACTCGCACTCATTCACGATCACGGCCAAGTCGAGCCTCTGAGATGTTCCCATTCAAAGAAGACACTTCCGATGATGAAGAAGAAGTTCGACTGAGGGACGTGTTGTTGTTTCAGCTACAATCCACCTGCTTCAACCAGCGTTTCCATCTGGAAGCAGACGAGACCAGTACAGATGAACGGGGTGCAGCAGAGGAGTATCATGAACCCGGTGAGAAAATGGATGAATTTGTAGACTTCAAGAAGGAGTGTTTCCAGGAACCTCAAGCTGAAAAGTATGAAGAAGCCCAGGACTCAGTTGTGCAAAACTTGGAAGATTTTGAGTTTACAAATGAAGAGGAGGCTGCTCCAAAAGAGCAGTCACAGGAATCCATGTTAAGATCTATGCATGATGACAATGATCTTGCAAAAGCTCTAGAAGAAGCATATTCTTCAGATGACAACACTCCTGTGCCAAGCAAAACAAGGACTCGCACTCATTCACGATCACGGCCAAGTCGAGCCTCTGAGATGTTCCCATTCAAAGAAGACACTTCCGATGATGAAGAAGAAGTTCGACTGAGGAGACGTGTTGTTGTTTCAGCTACAATCACCTGCTCAACCAGCCGTTCATCTGGAGCAGACGAGACCAGTACAGATGAACGGGGGGAGACAAGTGATGACAGAGGAGAATCCAGTACAGATGACAGAAGGACTGCCACAAGTGAAAGTGATGTAGCAGCGAGCCCAAACCCAAGAGCAACATCCACCTCCAAGAAAAAGAAGAAAAAGAGGCGATAAAAGGTTTCTTGCCTTAGTAGAAGTGAGAACTTAGATTTCATCTTATGAACAATTTTAGAGAACTTCTCTTGCACAAGAAGTGATGCTTGTTGTTGATTTTTCCTTACTTTAACATATATGCCAATCTTTAAGAAGCTTTATAGTGAAAAGGACCAAATATTGAATGTATGAATAATAGCAAAGTGCTTTTGACATGAACGACTTTAATAATCTGGCAGCAGTTGTTGATGCATTTTCTTATTCTATTTTTCCAAGTAATTTTATTGTTTGTGTGAGCATCACAGATGTTACATAACTATCACATTTTTGGCTTCTTTATTTTAATGCACATGTTTCGGTGAAAAAGTGTGTAAATTGATTATATAGAGAAAGAAGGAAAAATGATATGAGTGGTTAAGAATTCATTCATTAGAGTTTAGCTGGGCTATGTCAGGAGTTTGCATATGCTGCGGAAATTTAACAGAATACAATCAGTTAACAGAGCAATATATCTTGAAAGCTTCCTTTTGTATTTTATGACACAATGGAAGCATTTTGCTTGTCAGCTGGTTATTGTATAGCAATAATAAGAATTACAATCTTACATTTCAAGAGATTGAGGAAAATAAATTACCAGATTTTTGGGTTATGTAGATTATAAGCTTACTGGCAAAGGTGGCTAAGATCATCACTTGAAGTATGATAATCTTATAAGCAAACTTGATATAACTAATTTGTGTTAATTCTGTAGAAACCAGTCTACGAACCTTGAAATCAGTTTGTAGAATCTGCTGAGATGTCTGCAGATAGTTCTGTTATATTCATCATTGTATATTTATTTTCTTGCTTATTTTTTCTAGATCAGTACTGAGAATATGCTGCAGTAGTGTAGAGACAGCAGATGATCCAAGGTCATCTTATGCTATGCTAAGATAGGCAGATCTCACAAGCATAAAAATTTTTAATTACTTTTTTTCACAATATATAATCATTCGGGTGATTTACATGCTTGCTGAATGATGTGATTGCGTGTGTCATGTTGGAATAGTGAATAGTGATAAGTTGAAGACTTGCTTGCCAGTTCTTGCATTCATGGACTGGTCACCTGTGCAAGGCCTGGTGAAAATGTTGGAGTTCTGGAAGTTGTAAAGAGGCAAATGAATGTGGAGTTTTTAGTTGTCAGTTGAGTGGGTGTTGTGGAGTTCTTTCTCTGTCATGGTGATAATTATTCTAACTTGATTATGTTGTTTTTTTCTTTCTTTCCTTCTTTCTTCCTTTCTTTCTTTCTTTTTTAGGGTTTGTATTTTTTGGTTAGTTTTAGTAACAACGGACATTGAAATACAGTTAGATTAGTCAGATTATACGAAATATTCTATTTATGTAGTATTAAGAAACGGTTAACCTCTTGATTTGAAATACAAGTGATATTGTCCAACTAGAAATCAGATTATATGAAACCAGACTTTCTGAAATCCACCATCAGTAAGCATTTAGAATTTACCCACATTTCAGAGCATAGCAGAGTGAGGTTTAATATTAAGGCAGATATCGTGAAGTGGTAAGTATTTTTATGTTGGTATAGGAAAAAAAAAAAAAAAATCCCCACAGCCTTGATAATCATTGTTATTGTAGTTAGTATATTTTTATTTAGGTGTGTGTGCTGATATTAAATGGTACACATAGAGCCATGTTCACTACTAAGAAAACCTTTTTTTTTTTTTCTTTCTTTCTTTCTTTTTTTTTCCTTTTCTTTTTTTAGGCAGTCATCTTGTTTGGTTTCTCTTAAAGCTCCTCAGTTTGATTTTAGTTTTAATGGATTTTCTGGTTTAGAGAGAAATGGACTGTGTGTCTCAGTGACAGAGTATGAGGAGTGAGAATGAGGACAATTTTAATAGTTTGTATTTCCTATGTGTGGAAAAGAGCTACATAGGGTACAAGTTGGAACAAATCTGCTTAATTGTTCATTTCTATCTGTCCCTTTTCCTCTTCCTTTTCCCCTTCTTTCCCCACTTTTCATATACTTTCTCTCCCTTTCACCTGCTTTTCATCTTTCTTACTTTCCCTTTGCCATTCCTTCTTTTGCCACCTAATCAAAAATATGCATTAATTTTGATCATTATTAGTATGATACAGTATAAGAATTAATGGTGTTAGCAAACCAGTTTTAAAGGGACTTTGCGATGTTTTTAAAAAATCATGACAATTGAAAAAAAAAAAGGCTCGCACCAATGTCTTTTCACAGCATACATCATTTCAGCACTGAGTTCATGCAGCATCAAACTCACATACTTCAGCACTTAATCTTCATGTGCTTCCCCATTTTCACTCCATAGTTGAAAAGTCTATGCAATAGATTGGACTCTTTAAAGAAACACAAATGCTGAATGAAGTGTATAAATGCACAAAAAAGGTATTAAAAAAAACTTAGTAATAGGTATGATGTAGGTGAGCTGTTCAGGCAGCACATTTCTGTGCTCTAACTACAGTATGAATGTAAGGTCTTTTGGATATTCTATGCACTTATTAGAATGGTAGACTAACTTGTAAATAAGACACGGAAAATTGCATTATTATCCAGCATAGCAGACCTTAGCGTTAGATACTTCTGATGAGTGGAAGTTGCTTTACCTAATGTTTTTAGAGAGAGATTCTGATCCATTGTCATTTTTGATGATAACTTTATCACATTATCCTTAAATATCATCTAGGCACTGCGTGGATTAAATATGTAATTTAATTTTTAATTTCTACTGAAGTATGTTGGTGATAAGTGTCATCTGATTAAAAGAACATTATTATACATAAACACAGACATATTGGAACATGCACAGTATCTAAACTTACAAAGACACAAAGCTGTTCACTCTTGAACATGGAAATGTGTGTGTGTGTGTGTGTGTGTGTGTGTGTGTGTGTGTGTGTGTGTGTGTGTGTGTGTGTGTGTGTGTGTGTGTGTGTGTGTGTGTGTGTGTGTGTGTGTGAGTGAGAGTGAGAGAGTGTGAGAGTGAGTGAGTGCATTGAGTTGAGGTGAAGTGAGAGTGAGGGTGAGGGTGAGAGTGAGAGTGAGAGTGAGAGTGAGAGTGAGTGAGAGTGAGTGAGTGAGTGAGTGAGAGTGAGTGAGTGAGTGAGTGAGTGAGTGAGTGAGTGAGTGAGTGAGTGAGTGAGTGAGTGAGTGAGTGAGAGAGAGAGAGAGAGAGAGAGAGAGAGAGAGAGAGAGAGAGAGAGAGAGAGAGAGAGAGAGTGAGTGAGTGAGTGAGTGAGAGAGTGAGAAACTAGTACACACTGCAAGCTTAAAACAGAGGAAGAAAGTGAGAGAGGGAAAGAGATTAATGAAAAAGAGATATTTAGACTATATTACTCCATTGTGCTTGTGTTATAACTTTTCATCCTGTAGAGAATGGCTAACCTTGATTTTCACATTATTTTGCCAGCAAGAGTCACATTCACTCTTCAAAATTCTTCTTCCATAATGTATGTCAAGGCTGTCAGTGAACAGGGTTAAAATGAACCTTTGTGCTTGAATCGGCACAGTTTGTATTAAAGAGTGTTTAGTCTGCGGTTTGTGTGAATTAACTGGAAGAAGCATTTATTCCTTTCTGGGTCAACAGGATAACAAGGTGTTATTCTTTATTTCATTGATCATATTTCCTTGTGGTTTTGACGAAGGACCTCCACTAATTAATGCTTGTGCTGTTTATAAGTTTAGG